GGGTGGAGGGCTCGGACGCCACTGCCATGTAGTCAAATACAAGTCTAATCCTTTGTGATTATCATCATCTAATCCTTTGTGATCATCATTTCTTTGAGGTGGCGGAAGTTGCTGAAGAACGTTTCATAGCTATACAAGAGCCAACATTTCCAATGGAGAAAGCAAGGCTGTCTCAACCATCTCAAGAAAGCCGTTCTTCTCAGAGGTTGACGCAGGAAGTGGGATCCCAGAAGATGAGCCAAGGAAGTGTATCCGCGTCACAGAGATCTCAACCGAACACTCCCATTCCACAGCGTCAAGGTAAACGCAAAAATTTGATATCAACAAGCTCATTCGTTCACTAATGTGAAAGTTTTTGTAAATTGTTCGAAAATGTTCAGCTAGTGATCATAACAAAGTTGCTGGCATTATGCAGACTCCGTCGTCGCGGAAGGCGAAGGATGCTGGAAAATCTCTGAATGACGTGCGTTTAAATCCTATTATATCGATTACTTGCGATTTACAAATTCAGCTTGTCGGCGGAGAATCATCACCCATCCAGGAAGACATCCCATTTAGCTTAAGCGAGGATCCTGACAAAGAAGTTTTTGATCCTACTGCTGCTCTGAATATTAGCGCAAACAGCAACGGTTATACTTTTTGCTATTCCAAATTCTCGGCTAATGCTTCATTGCAGACCCAGGTGCCGATTTCTTGTCGCTGATGGAGACCACAAATGAGAAAAAAGCAAAAAGTGGACGTAATCGTGCGTCGCCAGGTTGTTTTCCGCGTCTGCCTTTTTTTACATGATTATGTTTTACATTAACAGATGGTGACTTCTCTTTCTCTATCTTTGGCGCTGCTGCTGAAGGAGGAGCTACATCAAGTGGTACGTCAAGACAGTAGCAATTTCTCGCTTAAAACAGATTTTAAACTAAGAAAAAAAATAGGTTCTGGTGATGGTGAATTCGCTTTTGATTTCGGAAATCCTACGCAGGATGGTGATGGAGCCGATGATGGCGGTTTTCAGTTCAACTTTGGAGGTTCTGAGGAACAAGGAAATGACAAGGATGAAGGGTTCAACCTTTTCGGTTTCTAAAACGGTTTTATTGAGCCACTGGTCTGTGAATGTGTTGTTGAGTTAACTAGTTGTTGTTTTGTTGGGTTTTGCTAACCTCACTGTTAACTGAAAAATGGCTTTTCGCCTTTCATTGATTTGTTCATCCGCATACGAATTCCCGAAAGATTCAATT